TTTTATATTATATCTTCTTTAAAGTTGTATATTCCTTGACACTTTTACATTATATTTTCTTTAAAGTTGTATATTTCTTGACACTTTTACATTATATTTTCTTTAAAGTTGTATATTCCTTGACACTTTTATATTATATTTTCTTTAAAGTTGTATATTCCTTGACACTTTTATATTATATTTTCTTTAAAGTTGTATATTCCTTGACATTTTTCATTATATTTTCTTTAAAGTTGTATATTCTATGAAATATTGCAAAATTATCCTGTGATTCCTAGTAAACATTCACACAGTTCCACCTTCTAAGGTAATAATAAGAACCTCTTCTTTGACGTGGTAATGACGTGTTTTATGACTTTCCTAACCCTTGTACTTTCACTCGTTATTAAACAAGATGTTAATATAATATAAATTATTGTTTAGAGTAACTTACCATATAGTACTATTAAATACTTATCTATAATTTTGTTTAATGTATCGATTTTTTATGTCCTTCAAGTTGACAAAATCATACTTGAAAAGGCATTGTATAATAGACTATTATGTTACATTACGAAACTAACAAATTTAATGCTATGTTCACAAGCAAAAAAAAAAAAACTTTTAAAAAGGAGTAAATATAAGGGTGGCTAATAACAATTATTCAAAAACAATGGAAACATGATAGTAGGGATGGTATTTACATCATCCATATATAATAACACAGTGTAGTAAAATCTTAACAGACAAAATGAAACTCAGTTGTGATTGAATAATTATAAACATATATTGCTATATGTTAATTCTTGCCTGTGTTATTATGTATGGATGATACAAATTATCTATTTTTGGCTGGTAATTCCTGTTTCACCCTGTACTTAAGCTCTTTAAAGGAACATCGAATTAATGTACAAAGCGCTAACTTCAAGGGGTAATGATAACATTGTTTACACTAGAATTGTGATCTTTTTTAATTACTACTAATTAATAATACTACTTATAAAAGTGTCGCTAAGCCTGAATATAATACCATATTTTTTGTTCTTGACCCCCTTCTCGGGATGCGGGACTCCATATTTGAAACTATTTTCACTCACAAACTGCCATGACTAAATTTGGCACACGTGCTCAGGTACCACAGGCGGGTGTTCTAACTGTTGTTTGGGAATACGTACCCCACTTGGAATAGCTATAGCATAAATGCTAGATATTTTTCAGATCTTATATAGATATTGGTTAACTTTGGTCAGCAAAAAGGCAACTATAAGCAATATACACTCTACCACTCATAGTTATAGCTTCCAAAGTTTATAACACACTGACTATAGCAAACTAATAATATATACTCTCTTTTGGCGCGGCACGTTGGTTATATTTATAGGCGTGTGGAAGCTTTACATAACAATACAACGCTACATTAAGCGTTTACGTACATACATATCTTGTTGATTCACACTTTCGAGAATCATCTACAACTTTGGAGAATAGTATAACAGTATAAGCTGGGCATGTTTTAAAATATAAACTTAATCTAAACAGCGTTGATATTAAAATAAATATATAATAATGAATTCGTCAAAGTAGATATGCTAGTTAAGATGATAAAAACTTCATTTCAGCTGTGATTAGGCTTATGACGTATAATGTATCTACTTGTAGATTAGATCGTTTTATGTTATGATAGCGTTTCTCATTTAGAGGAATTTGTGATATTTTGTATGGCAGATTAATAATACACTAACCAGACTCTTGTATTAACTTAAGTTAACATATTAAAATATTGTGGATATAGGTGCCAAAGTGTCTTATTAACTAATTAATGTAAGCAATTATTTGTAATAAATAGTAATTTTTTTAGAGATTTTGGTTTGGACTATATCAAGATTACTTCATTTTTCCACCCATTATTATTTGCTTGATTTTGCCGTTCGCTAAGTCAAACTTAGGAATGTCTGTGTACAAATAGTCCTTTCTATATATTTACGACTATAATTATTTTCTGTTTCAATTTGAACTTATCCTATCATTTTTTATTTCCTTTCAAGTCCCGCCGGAGGTCACGGTGGAAGACAAACGAGTTCATGCTCATCTTGGGGATACAGTTTTGTTGGAGTGTCGTATCGAAGCTCTGCCCTTCCCGAACATTGTTTGGAAGAAGGAGAATGGAAAAGATATTTCATTGGGAAAGAAATATGAAATAGACGTAGCAATCAAAGAGTATAAAATTCAAACAGTTCTAAGAATCCGAGATGTCCAGTCTACTGACTTTGGGATATACAAGTGTACTGTCAACAATAGTCTTGGTAAAGCAGAGGGAGAGATCCACATCTATGGTACTATTTCTTTCTCCACAATGTTATCAACTGACTTATTCAAATCGTTCTTATTCATGTCAATTTTACGACTGCATCTTGTATATTCCTTTCTAAACTTATTTAATCTATTAACCCGAGTTTTTCTCGCCTGTTATTGTATATCTTTATGTCTTCTAACGAGTTAAAACTACAAGAAGTTGTAGCCCAATGAAAACTTATGTACATTACCACAAGATGTTGTTGCTAGCTAGTATCATAAAATGTTGTTACCAGCTAGTATCACAAGATGTTGTTACCAGCTACTACCACAAGATGTTGTTACCAGCTACTACCACAAAATATTGTTACCAGCTAGTATCACAAGACGTTGTTACCAGCTACTACACAAGATATTTTTACCAGCTAGTATCACGAGATATTGTTAGCAGCTGGTATCACGAGATATTGTTACCAGCTACTATCATAACATACTGTTACCAGCTAGTATAATAAGATATTGTTACCAGCTAGTATCACAGGATATTGTTACCAGCTAGTACCACAAGATATTGTTACCAGATAGTGTCACATGATATTCTTTCCAGCTATTATCACAAAATGTTGTTACCAGCTAGTGTCACATGATATTGTTACCTGCTAGTACCACAAGATATTGTTACCAGCTAGTACCACAAGATATTGTTACCAGATAGTGTCAAATGATATTCTTTCCAGCTATTATCACAAAATGTTGTTACCAGCTAGTGTCACATGATATTGTTACCTGCTAGTATCACAAGATATTGTTACCAGCTAGTGTCACATGATATTGTTACCTGCTAGTACCACAAGATACTGTTACCAACTAGTATCACATGATGTTGCTACCAACTAGTGTCACAAGATGTTGTTACCAGCTTGTACCACAAGATATTGTTACCAGCTAGTACAACATGATATTGTTACTAGCTAGTATCACAAGATGTTGTTATGTTGTGGTACTAGCTGGTAACAACATCTTGTGATAATAGCTGGTAACAATATCATGAGACACTAGCTGATAACAATATCTTGTGGTACTAGCTGATAACAACATCTTGCGGTATTAGCTGGTAACAATATCATGTGATATTAGCTGGTAACAATATCTTGTGGTACTAGTTGGTAACAACATCTTGTGATACTAGCTGATAACAACATCTTGTGATACTAGCTAGTAACAATATCATGGTGTACTAGCTGGTAACAATATCTTGTGGTACTAGCTGGTAACAACATCTTGTGACACTAGTTGGTAACAATATCATGTGATACTAGCTGGTAACAATACCTTGTGGTACTAGCAGGTAACAATATCATGTGACACTAGCTGGTAACAATATATTGTGGTACTAGCTGATAACAACATCATATGACACTAGCTGGTAACAATATCTTGTGGTACTAGCTGATAACAACATCTTGTGAGACTAGTTGGTAACAACATCTTGTGATATTAACTGGTAACAACATCTTGTGATACTAGCTAGTAACAATATCATGTTGTACTAACTGGTAACAACATCTTGTGATACTAGCTGGTAACAATATCTTGTGTAGTAGCTGGTAACAGCATCTTGTGATACTAGCTTATAACAATATCTTGTGGTACTAGCAGGTAACAATATCATGTTGTACTAGCTGGTAACAACATCTTGTGATACTAACTGGTATTGTTACCAGCTAGAGTCACATAATATTGTTACCAGCTATTACCACAAGATGTTGTTACCAGCTATTATCACGAGGTATTTGGAGACCTGCTATCTTCTGAACACATTGAAACAGCTACTATAAAATATTATCCATCTTCGACCCCTGCATAAGAATTTTAAACGTATATTGTGTCTAATTTCTTTTTGTAATGTTGATACCATTAATTTCTCAGTTATATTTCCTTATACGGTATTATAAGCAATTGCTATTTAAAGTATTTCTGAACAGGTGGCTCTTTTTTTTAATCTTTTTAATATTGTTTTAACTCATTTCAAATGATGGATTAACGTAAAAAAGAAACTTACAGATTGCAGTACCGCGATAAAATATGTGATTATATTAATCCTCTAGCTTTCCAGCTCTAAAGGAGGTTAATAAAATCATATATTTTAACGTGGTACTTTATCTAATAAGTTTCATTTACTTCTATGTAATTTGTCAGTTGTATTTTGTTTGTGCTTAGCTCTAAAGAATACTAGGCTTAGAATAAGAAGAAATCTACATTATTTATCACGACGTTGAATACCGTAATGAAAAGACCGTGGATTGTATTAATTAGGCGTCCTCCCCTAGAATTAATAAAACACCCTCTACCACCAAACTTTCTACTTGAATTCAAGGAGTTCTTGATTTATTAAAAAAATTTAATAAAAATTATGAAATATTTATTTATATATCAAAATTATCCGACAATGTAACCTTAAAGCAGCTGAACGTTTTAGATAAATTGCTACGTCACGTACAGTATTAATGCCTGTAAAAATGAAAAGTAAGAAAATAAATTAATAACATATTGTGTGAAAACTAGTAAAAATTTTATTGCTGTAATTAAAATAACTACGTTATGTGTAATAAGACGATTTAGTATTATTTATAATTAAAAATAATCGCTTTTTTCTGTTTATTATTTCTCGTTCGACAAATTTTCCTCTAGAAAAAGCTTATTCACACCTCAATATATGTCCCTGAATGTTTACCATGGATACGGTTTCTATGACTACCTTTAATTGACGTCTACTCGACAAGTATTAGGTTAAAATGTACATATCTGCACTGGATTGCTTAGACTATATAATTTGGAAACAATTTTCTAATCGCTAATAGGTTTTTAATTTCTTACTAAGTATTAGTGGCAGGGATTTTGGTTTCCTAAGTCTTTAAAAATTTTGTTTTAGCTAAGTATTACTCTCCTGTGGCAGAAATCCCAAATTTGGTGACAGTTGCTTGAAATCAACGAGTGTTTCTTTTTTTTTTTTGACAGAATGTCAAACATAATAATAATAATGATAATAGAAAAATTTGGGAGAGGACTTATCAAACTCGTAGATGGCGTTTTGAGAGTATGTGACTTCTGTTGAACACTCGAAATTGACCTCTATTTAAATAGAGAATTCCAGTGCGAAGACACCATAGTTGGATATATGTTTTTGTTCTTATGCACAAAGTTACACAATGGGCTACCTCTGGTGTGCCCACCACAGGATCTAAATCCGCATTGGATAAATAATGTTATTTTTTTTTTAATTTTAAAACTCAATTGTCTTTGGTTTTATAGTCTGGGTCAAAATGTTTGTATACTATTCTATATTGATGCTATTATCTACATACATTGAGTAGTTATTGAGTAAATGCCCAAGTAGTAACAGAGAAGGTAGCGTATGATCGGACAAAGATGTTATTATGGTATGTATAAGTTGTTTTGATCATTTGTTCGTTGTATAAAAGGATGTGATTTTGATATACTATTTTTGAAACAGATCAACGCTTTTTTCAGACAATTTCTCTGTACTCGGTATAGAGTCGTGTCTCGTCACGTGCCAGAAGTTATTTCCGTCAAATTGTTGGACTGTCCAGAAATGGTATGAAGCAAACCGACATTGTCAGAACAGTAGGGTACCCTCAGTGTACTGTATCGAGAATCCTGAAACGTCATCGGACTACAAGAAACTTTGTTCCAGGAAAGTCTACTGGTAGATGCCGAAAAAAACTGTAGCCCGAGATGATTGTGTTTTAATCAGGTTAATATGTCTTACAATACCTTACAACAGGAATGCCACGAACACATTCATTTCAGGGTATCCAGAAGAACATTGAATAGGAGACTAACCAAACAAGGTTATTTTGCAAAAAGAGCTATCTGTAAATCGATATTATCCAAAATTAACCACCGTCACAACGTTACTTGGGAAAGACAGCAATGCAACTTACAGTTAGGACACTAGCAACATGTCATCTTTTCAGATGAGTTCTGTTTCCGGCTTCTTAAAGCTGATGGTAGGATTCGTGTTCGTCGTTTGTCTGGAGAAATAAGGAGAGAAGACTGTTTTTTTTTTACCACAGGAAAAACACAGTAGGTGGTGCAGTACATATTTGGGCAGCTACTCATCATGGTGGAAAAACTGTTCTTCATATCCTCCAGGGAAACATCAATGGCTCCTCTTACTGGCATCACATAGAGACATTATTTCTGTCATATGCTAGGAAAGGTTTAGCAATAACTTTATGTTCCAGAATGATAATGCCACTGCTCACAATGCGCCTATAGTACAGGATTATCTCGATAAGGCGAACGTTAAAAAATTGCCACTGAGAACTGTTAAACAGAACTGAGCCGGAAAATCGTTATCCACGACCCTAAACCAGCTATTGTAGATAAGTTTCAGCGCTTTCTATTGACATTTTCTTTTTTTTAAATAGAGATGGAACTTAATTAAGCCTAGAAAATATGAAAATATTTCTTTTATTAATTTCGGCTAATTCATTTGCATAACTATACAGAATAGCCTAGCACCAAGTACTGATTGTGATCGGGTTAAAGTATCTATATTCTTTATGTAACGTTATATACGTTATTCGTTTTATTAGATATTCCACGTCCAACACCAGTACCTACCTTCCCGATTCAGTGGATGTCTTCTATTTCGCTAGAGACCGGTCCCCAAAGTAAGTATTTTGGAAGAGCTGGGTTGTGCAATTGAATTATTTCTTTCCTACTTATGTATCTCTTGTTGATATTAAATAGTGTTGAATTTTAAACAAGCTTCTGAATTTTTAGCAACTAAAGCGTTTCTTTTTTACTTTATGATGTTTTTAATTGTTTCTATAGGTTTATGAACAGGGTATGGGAGATAGGTTGTACTGGTCAGACTAAATCATCCTTTTAAAATCCAATATGTAGCTCATAACATCTGAAAAATGACACAAAGAAAATACAAATCACCAACTTTGACATCAATGTGAAAGTGATAGGGCCACTAACTTGAAAGATGTCTTACATAAATTTTGACATCAATGTGAAAGTGATATGGCCATTGACTTGAAAGATGTCTCACATAAATGTTTCCTTCTTATTTTATAACTCAACATCTCTGTAAGTATAGCGCCATACCCAATTGGGGTTACAAATACAAGGATAGAGGTTACTGTGCAATACAGCTAGAGTAAATCAAACACTAATAGAGCTAGAGTAAATGAGACACTAATGCAGTTAGAGTAAATGAGACACTGATAGAGCTAGAGTAAATGAGACACTAATACAGCTAGAGTAAAGGAAACAACAATACAGCTAGAGTTAATAGTCACTAATATAGCTAGAGTTATGAGATACTAATACAACTAGAGTTATGAGTCACTAATATAGCTAGAGTTATGAGAAACTAATACAGCTGGAATAAATGAGACACTAATACAACTAGAGTAAATGAGACACTAATAGAGCTAAATTAAATGAGACACATCAATACAGCTACAGTAACTGAAACAATAATACAGCAAGAGTTATGAGTCACTAATATAGCTAGAGTTATGTGACACTAATACAGCTTGAATAAATGAGACACTAATACAGCTAGAGTAAATGAAACAATAATACAGCAATAGTTATGAGTCACTAATATAGCTAGAGCTATGAGACACTAATACAGCTAGAATAAATGAGACGCTAATACAGCTAGAGTAAATGAAACAATAATACAGCTTGATTTATGAGACACTAATACAGCTAGAATAAATGAGACATTGATACATCTAGAGTAAATGAGACACTAATACAGTTAGAGTTATGAGATACTAATACAGCTAGAGTTATGAGATACTAATACAGCTAGAGTTATGAGACACTAATACAGCTAGAGTAAATGAGACACTATTATAGCAAGAGTTATGAGACACTGATACAGCTAGAGTTATGAGACACTAATACGCCAAAAAGAATTCTTATACGATCTACACATCCTTCAGCAAGTCTGTGACATTTCCAGATTGGCTTAAAGACATGCTAATCAGTGATTGCCTTACCGGCCATCGTTGATCTGACTCATTTTATAAGCTGTACTATTTCCTATAGATCATTTACCAGACAGTTCTGCTATGATTAGTGTCTGGCGAAAAGCTTCAGCAGATATTTGCTTTGCAACAACTCAACCAACAATTGGTCCAGTTATCAACGCTATTCAAGTTTTGAACAACTCGACTTTCAAGATCTACATGTCTAAATGTGCCGATGTTTCCGTTTATCAACGTTATATTTTAAGACCTGTGCAAGAACTCAGCTAACAGATGTTTCCTCATATAAAAGCTATCTTCAAGATTTTCTTTTTATCAGAAAAATTTTATTTTTTACTCAATGCTACACAATTGTTAGTAGTTTCAACGATAGTTTTTTTTTTCCTTCGGTGTAACAAAATATTTCCATATCTAATTACTCATCTGTCTTGTGTATTGCTGAATATTCCGTTTATTGTTGTATTCTTAATACATAATGAACTATCTGGACTGTATTTACTGTGAGGAATCGAACCCCGGATTTTAACGTTGTAAATCCGTAAACTTCCCGCTGACCTACAGGTGTACAATTCCTTCCAGACCGTAATAGAAAGAATGGGTATGGTGATATATTTAGAGATCCCTCTGGTGTTTGAAACAAATTAATATTTTTTTTAACAACGAAATTATTAATAAAATCGATTAAAGGATGAGATATAATAATGAAGGTATAACCTTGTTAGGAAACTACCACTAGGGTGAGTTAACGTTCTACAGATAGAGGAGTTCAGTTGCACGTCTATTATGTGTTCTTAATTATTGTGTTCTTTTAAAGGTGACTATAATCATGTTTGAAACAAATCATTCACTAACCTCAAAAATTCATTCAGATTAATTTTAATGTGAAATCAAATGTAAACTAAACACAAATATTAAGTAACACAACATCTTCAAGGTGTTACCCACGAACGAGAAACGTTTTACAATTGTATTTTTAGACAACGTGATAACAATATATAACACGCGCTTATAACTCTTTATTCGTAGAATTAAGTCATAAGCTAACTCTGTTAGAAATCATGACTCTTGGAAATGGTTGTACAAGACTGGTGATATATCAATTGAATGTAAGGATTATAAAAGTTGTTATTACTTAAGTTTTATTATATATGTTGAGATAAACAAAATAAAAAAAATCCATAATTTACAGACGACTTGAATGGGCATAATGAAGAGGAGGAGAACCATGTCGTTTTCCCTAAAGAACCCCGTCAAGCTGCTAAAGGTAGATATACTCTTCGTATCGAGTTTTTGAAGTAAGGAATTCGGTATTAAAAATAAACTAAAGTATAAACCTATTTAGCTATCTTTCTGCATGCCCGACTACATGTTGAAATTAAACATTCCACATCTACCACGTAACTTCCCCTCTAACACTAATTATCTAATTAATTGATTTTTTTATTACATCTACATCTTTCGAAACGAAAGATCTTTTCCTTATTTGTGTATCAAATGTTATTTAGCTGTATTCCTATACGAAGCCTTCTGGTGGCTCAGCAGTTAGTCTCACAACTTACATGCTAAAATTCAGGTTTCTATACCTGGGCAGAGCATAGATAGCCCATTGTAGCGTTATGTTTAAAATCAACTAAGAAAATCGAACAAATAAACAAACTCTATACGTAGATGACATTAAGAAATATTATAAACAATTTCACTAAGCTTGCAGCTGTGTTCCTTGGTTAATTTAATGAGTTTTTCCCACGTATCATTCACTAATATTGCAGCTGTCTTCCTTGATTAGTTTAATGGGTTTCCCATGTATCATTCACTAAGATTGTAGCTGTCTTCCTTGGTTAATTTAATGGGTTTTCCCATGTATCATTCACTAATATTGCAGCTGTCTTCCTTGGTTAATTTAATGGGTTTTCCCATGTATCATTCACTAATATTGCAGCTGTCTTCCTTGATTAGTTTAATGGGTTTCCCATGTATCATTCACTAAGATTGTAGCTGTCTACCTTGGTTAATTTAATGGGTTTTTCCATGTATCATTCATTATGATTGTAGCTGTCTTCCTTGGTTAATTTAATGGGTTTTCCCATGTATCATTCACTAAGATTGTAGCTGTCTTTCTTGGTTAGTTTAATGGGTTTTACCCATGTATCATGTGACATATTCATCTTCAAAAACAAACAAAAAAAAACAGCACAAAACTAGCTTCTGATCTTTTTAGTTGTTATCCATTAGATATATATATATACATATATAGATAGATAGATAATGTAATCCTATGAGCAGTGAGAAAAATATAGATTACAATAGGAACGAAAAGTAAAGACTAAACTTACATTTTAACAGCCAGCATCGTGGTTGAACATTTTTAGACAGCGTTAAACCAGATCAATACTGTCAGTAAGTTAACTGTCAGAGGAAACCCGCTGAAAGTGAAAGATTGATTTTAAAGTAATATATATAGGTATACCTGCGCCTGTCAATTTTTATTTATATGTCTGTTTTTATATCCATCTCTCTTACTGTCACTCTTTATAAATACCATTTGCAGCCTCAAGTATAAAATACTTATTAACGAAAACCTTCGGAATTACCAACAGCATTAAATCAGCGGGAAATATCGCGAGCTTTAAAAAGAGATAAACACAGTGACAAAGAAACAAAATGTGAATAAAATTCTGTACAATACAAAAGGTACTAAAATATTAAACTAACAAATTCTGTAGATAAGGTTTGAAAACCCACCAGGTATCAAATATATCGCAGTTTAGAACTTCTTAAGGACTTTCTAAGTTGAGAGATTGCATCATGCATCGTTCTGAGTTTTTAGTTTTTATGTGATCTATCTGCCTAAGGCCGGGAATGGATGACGTTTTTGGATCTTAGCTGCGTTTTATTCAGTTCTGGTCTGTAGAGTGTTAAAATTTGTTCTGTTTTCTTATGGGTTTGTCGAATTTATTGATAGTGTATTTTGATGTTTTCATAGATTAGTTTAAAGGATTTTTCGAAGAAATTGAGAACCCTGATTTAATCTTCTTTGCCCAACATAGTAGAAAGCTGGGAGTTTTTAGTTGGATTGACGTTATTAAAAATTTTCTGATGTATGTAGCAGGATTTTGTTAATTTTCTATGACAGGATGAGAGGCTAAAATATAAGGTTCGAAAAGTTAGCAGTCCTTTCATGATATTAAAAAGTTAAGATGTACAGAGCATTAGTGACTGCTTTATTCAAAAATATTCCACTTCTACATTCCACATGTATAAATTTCACATTTAGCACATTCTATTCCACTGTGTACTTCTATGTATAGGCCGGATTCTTTACAGTAGGTGTCTGGGACTTGTTGACGATAAATTTTAACAATAAACAAACAGCACACATTCCACTTGTTTTAAAATAATATATTTCGTCAAATTCCACACAGGCTGGTTCAATCACTTTAGAACACAAATGACAAAACAAAATTATGTTTTCTATACTCTGTTATTACAACACAGTCTGTGATAATTTCACTTTAAAATCATCACTGCAATTGTCCTCTTTTTGTCAAATTTCACACAGAACACAATTGACAAGACAAATTATTCTTCTCTACTGTGCACTTATTTATAGCCCGACAGGGGGCTAGAACGTTCCTCACGCTACGAGAAATTATGATGCAATAATACTCAATTAAAACGAGAAAATCTTAGAATGTTCTAGCAGCATGACACAATAATACAACAATCACCAATTCGCAACACCTGAACTACACAGCGTATGATTCGTAAACAGTTACGTAAACAAACTTGTGATAAACTATCTCTTCTAAAAATAAGCACATTTAACACTCGCACTATATAAACTATCTAAATCAGTCGTGTACATCCAACATCTACTGCAATATATCTTCCACTTCGACACTCCAGGTGCATGTAATCCATAAAAGTCCCAATTATTACACTCTATTAGCCTGTAAGCGTTTTTAAGCCATGTAAGATACACCTGTAATGGTGGAAGGGTGGTAAGTTTTCATTTGCTATCTTCGCTTTTATTTCACATTTACTTTGTCGCATGTCCAATCTGAAAAAGGTGTGAAATTTTGAAATTCTTTGAACCCCCTTCCTCATTGGTTATTAAAGATGCTCTTGGCACCAAATTGTAAACACTTTCATGTACTTTACATTTTCAGTTGTTTTCTGACTATCATATATTTTGAACTAGTCCTATTTCATCATCGCTTACAAAAAACATACTCTCAGTTTTTTCGAGAAAAAAAAAACTCTTTGAAGTTAACAACTCTTGAAAACCCAAAATTTAACAAATTTCCAGTCACACATTAAAATTAACGTCAGTTTACATGAGAAGTATGACCGAAAAAGTTTTTGCAGTGACCCAATAGAGTCAGTTTACGTGAGAAAGATGACCGAAGAAACTATCGCAGTGACTCAGTCGAGTGAGTTTTCATGAGAAAGAAACTTTGGCAGTGACCCAATAGAGTCAGCTTGCGTGAGAAAGGTGACCGAAGAAACTATCACAGTGACTCAGTCGAGTCAGTTTGCGTGAGAAAGATGACCGAAGAATTATTCACAGTGACTGAGTCGAGTCAGTTTGCGTGAGAAAGATGACCGAAGAAACTTTCGCAGTGACTCAGTCGAGTCAGTTTGCGTGAGAGAGATGACCGAATAAACTTTCGCAGTGACCCAATAGAGTCAATTTACGAGAGAAATATGACCGAATAAACTATCACAGTGACCCCAGTGATCGTTGCTTTGTTTGGTGCCTGTGGTCTGCTAAAAGCTGACCCTAGATATCAATCAACATCGGAACATCTAGAAGCTTGTTACAGTGAAAATCGGGGTGTCTACAATGCATAATCACAACCATCATACTGAGAACGATCGACAAAGATAGAAGTGATTTGAAAGGACCTGCAACAGTATGTCTATATACTTCCTAACTGATCATAAGATATTAGACGAAAACAATTTTACCATGGTTGAATGAAATATTATTTCTTGAGTGTGAAATTACTGAAAGAAATTTAATAATATATGCATTTCATAAACGTACCATATATTGTATATATCACTTTGAGTGTGTTTGTGTTTTCTTATAGCAAAACCATATCGAGCTATCTTCTGTGTTTACCGACGGGAATCGAACTATAAACGTACCATATATTGTATATATCACTTTGAATGTGTTTGTGTTTTCTTAAAGCAAAACCATATCGGGCTATCTTCTGTGTTTACCGAGGGGAATCGAACCCTTGATTTTAGTGTTGTAAGTCCGAAGACCTACCTCCGTCACACCGATAGACATTCCTTTTAGAAATTTTATACCAATTAACTAACGTTAAAATATTGTTCTTTCTTACTCAGAGAATAACGAAGATTACAAAGTTAAGACAATATTTTGTTTTAAGAATGTGATATCAGTATTACTAAGATTAATACAATAAGACAAAATAGAATATAAAGTGTTTTACTTACCAGTAAGTGAGAAATGTCTCTTTTTTTGACGTTGCATAATTTATCCCAACGATGCATTAATAGTTTTACCAGTGGGTGTCATTACCTTCATACTACTATCTGTAAACCAGTTGATGTCATTACTCCTCCTACACTTTGTTAACTAGTGGGTGTCATTACTCCTCCTACACTTTATTAACCAGTGGGTGTAATTACCCTTCCTACTACTATCTGTAAACCAGTTGATGTCATTACTCCTCCTACACTTTGTTAACCAGTGGGTGCCATTACCCTTCCTACTACTATCTGTAAACCAGTTGATGTCATTACTCCTCCTACACTTTGTTAACCAGTGGGTGTCATTACCCTTCCTACTACTATCTGTAAACCAGTTGATACCATTACTCCTCCTACACTTTGTTAACCAGTGGGTGTCATTACTATTCCTACACTTTGTTAACCAGTGGGTTCATTACTATTCCTACACTTTGCTAACCAGTGCGTGTCATTACTATTTCTACACTTTGTTAACCAGTGGGTGTCATTTCTCTTCCTACTCTTTGTAAACCAGTACTTTTTCTACTTTCTCTTTCATTACAATATATCTATATTTGGACTTACACCAGGTTTGTCTGTTTTCTTGAAGTACCTTACACGCTTCATGTATTTATTTATTCTGATTTTGCTTATCAGGGTTCCGCTTTTGATCGTGGAAAGGGGGTTGGAAGACACTGCTCTTCGAATCCTAAAACACTTTCATGATGGAGACTCTGGGGATAAACTATTGTTGGTCAGGAGACGCCTTAGTGATTCTTATTTATATTGCTCTCCTTGGGTTTGGGTTACGCTTCCGGAAGCGACAGGAAAATCTTATAACATTACATTTGAAAATAGTTTTATGTCTGTTTTAAGTTTCTAATCTTATTAATCTATGCTTACATTACCGAAAAACTACAACCTGCTAAACCGAGAATAGGTCCAACTCACAAGTATATAAACTTTAATGAGGCTTTAGAAACTTTGTGGGCTTTCACATATCAGGGAATAGCTTCATTCGCAACGTCTGTTTTCCTTGTTTATATATACCCTTATCTTGGTTAGTTAAATTCCTCTCATGTCCAGATGGCACAAGCGGTGACACATTCTCTATGAACAGAATGCCAGCCCCTCGCAGATTAAACCACAGCTAAGAGCAGGTACCCATCATATGGCTGGGTAGACTGAAATAATTGGGGGTAAAATGCCTAGTTTAAGGATGTTAGATATACAAGACTGTTCAGTTTAATGTCATTATTTACTCTATTTAGTTATTTAATATTCAATTCGGTGTTAATTATTTTAAAAGCGATAGTTATGACAAGTTTCGTTGTGTGACTCTGAAGGAGTCGTACCTTGTGTTAGGCTTTGTAATATTGTTGACGCCATCTTACTCGAAGCTTCTAAGTTTTCGTTATCATCGAACTTCGAGTCTAAAACGGGAACTAAACCCAAGTGCTGCAGGGTGTTACGTATCTGTGAGTAAAGACCTACAAGTATAGGGTTGTGAATGTTGATTTATTTTAAATTGAGTTTTGTGTCTGATGATACACATATAATTCAAAAACTCTGTAAATCTGTTTGTTTGTTTTGAATTTCGCGCAAAGCTACACGAGGGCTATCTGCGCTAGCCGTCCCTAATTTAGCAGTGTAAGACTAGAGGGAAGGCAGCTAGTCATCATCACCCACCGCCAACTCTTGGGCTACTCTTTTACCAACGAATAGTGGGATTGACCGTCACATTATAACGCCCCCACGGCTGAAAGGGCGAGCATGTTTGGTGGGACGGGGATGCGAACTCGCGACCCGCAGATTGCGAGTCGAGCGTCCTGTAAATCTGTGTAAGTTATTAAATCTGTGTAAGTTATTGAATCTGTGTAAGTTATCAAGTGTCATATAAAACCTTAGTAACAAGCTAACGCTTTCATGAATAAACTAGCACTCAGATAAATTAACAAGCACAAATCCAGCAGCCAAATAATTGTTCATATATTTCAAAATTCATTAGCATTACCTCAGTATCTGAAACAAATTGTGGGTGTTTAGTTTCATAAAATAAATTTAAAATCGGATGATTAAGTTAAATGTTTATATAATAAAACATGCATTTTTTTCAAGTTTAGAATTATTTCTAAAATTTCAAATATCCAGTCATAAATATCTATCGTGTTGTTTCCGGAAACACACGAATAATGATTTTATTACGTAATCCGCGTGTCGAGGGTTCGAATACCGACAACGCACATGTTCGCCCTTTCAGCTGAGAGAGCGTTATAAGTTACACTTAACTTTACTTTACAGGTGGTTAGGGCGCTCGACTCCCAATCTGAGGATCACGGGTTCGAATCCCCGTCCCACCAAACATAAAAGAGTGAAAGAGTAGCCCAAAAGTTGGTGGTGGGTGGCGATGACTAGCTGTCATCCCTCTATGCTTACACTGATAAATTAGTGACGGCTATCGCAGATAGCCCTCGTGTACCTTTGCGCGAAATTCAAACCAAACACATTTTTCTTTAACAAAAGAGTAGCCCAACAGTTAGGTGTGGGTGATGCTGACTAGCTGTGTTCCATCTAATCTATCACTTCTAAGTTAAGGACAGCTAGCGCAGATAGCCCTCGTGTAGCTTTTCAACAAACATATTACATTTCGTGGTTTTATATCTTACTTTAGCTACACAAAACTATCTCTACCATGATAGTAACATCAACAATAATATGGTTTTATATCTTACTCTAACTACACAAAACTATCTCTTCCATGCTAGTGACATCAACAATAATATGGTTTTATATCTTACTTTAGCTACACAAAACTATCTCTTCCCTGCTTGTAACATCAACAATAATATGGTTTAATATCTTACTCTAACTACACAAAACTATCTCCTCTAACTACACAAAACTATCTCTTCCATGATAGTAACAACAACAAAAATATGGTTTTATATCTTACTCTAGCTACACAAAACTATCTCTTCCATGCTAGTAACATCAACAATAATATGGTTTTATATCTTACCCTAACTACACAAAACTATGTTTTCCATGCTAGTAACAACAACAAAAATATGAATTATTTAGTAAAAATGTAAGTTTCATGCTGAGCAGATTTCTAACACATTTTTTTAAATGTTTTCCACGATTTGTTCTTCTGTTTGCTGTCTGTAATCAACAACAAACACTTAAGCGTGTCTCCGCCATAATTATTGTTTTAACATTTTCATGAGATATATTATCACACACTAACGGCCGTTTAAATTGTTTATTATTATTGTGGCTTCGATCCAATAACTCTACCTTGGGTTCTTTGTAATATTCTGAGAGTTTATATTCTGGTATTTACCGGGTCTGCTTTAGCTTTTTAAACTCTATTACCAATTCTCGTTCTTCAGATTTTTATCGTGTGCATTATCGTCTATAAGACACATCTAGCAACAATCCTATCTGTATCTGCATTAATTATCCAGTAGACAATCTTATAGTGCCCTTGTTAATAACCACCAGCTTTTATTCACAATTCACAAGTAAAAACAAGTCTTATATATGACCACGTTAGTAGCCACTAGCTGTTATTAACAAGTAAAAATATGTCTTATATATAATCACATTTGTAACCACCAGCTTTTATTTACAATTCACTTGTAAAAACAAGCCTTCTATATGACCTACCATTTTTTTAATTGGTATCGCTAATATCTACAGACATGAATCATCACTTTTTTCAATAAACATACACCTATGTCTACCACTGTTCGTTTCAAATACATTACTTTTACTTTTCCTATCTCATCCGAGAAGCACAGATGGCTAAGCCTAGTATTAACAATATAACCCGTTTGGTCAGCTGTGTAGTCGCAAGGTAAACGCTCTTGGTTAGCCTAACGTTCTTGATATAAGAGACACGAATAAGTAGAGTGCAGGCTACGTTCATGTATGTTGAATCACATCTTTTTTATTGTCTACAGCTGTCCTTTGAACTACTAGCTATAGGGACTAAGGCTGTGTGTAGCTGTCCCTTGAACTACTAACTAGAGGAACTAAGGTTGTATGCTGATATCCCTTGAACTACTAACTAGAAGAAACAAGACTGTATGCAGCTGTCCCTTGAACTATTGACAAGAGGGACTAAGGCTGTGTGCAGCTGTCCGTTGACCTACTAACTAGAGGGACTAAGGCTGTGTGCAGCTGTCCCTTGAACTACTAACTAGAGGAATTGAGCTGTCTACAGCTGTCCCTTGAACTACTAACAAGAGGGACTAAGGCTGTGTGCAGCTGTCCCCTGAACTACTAGCTAGAGGGACTATGGCTGTCTACAGCTGTCCCTTGAACTACTAACTAGAGGAACTGAGGCTGTCTACTGCTGTCCCTTGAACTACTAACTAGAGGAACTAAGGCTGTCTACATATATATATAAGATGTGGTTTAAAACTACTTTCCCATATATATGTATATACTAATGGTGTGTACATGGGTAGTTAACTGAGTTTAGATATACTAATGGTGTGTACATGGGTAGTTAACTGAGTTTAGGTATACTAATGGTGTGTACATGGGTAGTTAACTGAGTTTAGGTATACTAATGGTGTGTATATGGGTAACCTGTAAGCTCTTCTTAATGCAAGATTTTGTAGTGTTTGAATTTTATCATATAGAGGGTTGGACATATTACATAGGACCATACAAACGTACTCGATGACGGGTCTGATATAAGCTTTATAGATGTGTACTATTGTTTCAGGGTTCCATCCTTTTTGATAGCCTCCAATCGTTTTTAGAAAACATAGTATTTGATTCATATTTTTACGTATATTACTAATATGGTTAGTCCACGAAAGTTTTGAGTTAATTGTTATTCTTAGAAATTTAATAGTTTTAAAAAAGAGAATGACTTATTATATACAGTATTCTGCGCATGCTCTTTTTAATACGTGTGCTCAAACAACATACTGCAGAGCCCACGTAGCCAAAGTTACACTTTGGATATGTAAATTTGTATATTTGTCAATAAGTAGATGGCCAGTTAAATAAAGAAATACAATGTTATATGAATAAAGATCTTATCAATTTGTATTTATATTACCTTTGCTGTCTATGTTGGAAATATTACTCTGTAAAACATTTCCAGAACCTGCGTTTTGCGGATACTGTAACACAGACATCAGTGCACCTGACTACCACAGACCAGTTATTCACAATTCTACGCAATGTTCTGTTGTTGTTTGTTGTTAAGCACAAAGCTACACAATGGGCTATCTGTGGTCTGCCCAACACGGGTATCGAAACCCGGTTGCTAGCGTTGTAAGTCCGCAGACATACTGCTGTGCCACTAAGGGGAGGGGGGGCACGATGTTCTAAAATATATTTATATCTTATTTGCTTTTATTCATTTTACTATTTTCTTTTCAATTTTTATTTTAGAGGAGAGTTCTCCGTTGTATGATTGATACACCAAACGTTCGTGGTAGTAAAGTATCAAATCAAAGAGCAGAGGAAGAATCGGGTAAGTGTGTGTGTCTACAGATATTGATACACCAAACGTTCGTGGTAGTAAAAGTATCAAATCAAAGAGCAGGAGGAAGAATCGGGTAAGTGTGTGTGTCTACAGATATTGATACACCAAACGTTCGTGGTAGTAAAAGTATCAAATCAAAGAGCAGGAGGAAGAATCGGGTAAGTGTGTGTGTCTACAGATATTGGAATTGAACATCTCGCATCATCACCTCAAAGTTAACTTATTCCTTACATGTGCGTTATTAAATTGTTTTTTCTCTTACGTAAAGGATTTCAGGTTGGTAAAATAGGTTGGTTATGTAATCAATTTATTTTTTCGTTAGTGTTAAAAATGCTCGATAGTCATATGAAAAAAAAAACAAAAAACACTGAACAAAACACAACTGCACTCACGAAATACAGCATGTAAAATATGATTTACCTCTACTGTTTACTTAATTTTTCAGATTGTACGTTTACCTAAATAATATTTAAATTTACTCCCTGCAATGTATCAAACTGAGACTAAGGAATGATTTCAAAACTAGTTGTCCGTGTGACGAAGAAAGATTAGAAAAATCTTTGGAAACTAGAGATAGTTGTTTTTCTAAAGATGTGAAAAGTAAGTTAAACTACTTTAACCCACTAAACTTACCCTAATGCTTTTAAGCATATTAAAACGATTACGATGGGTTTTTCTCTGCACTCTGTGAGATTGTAAATTGTGTAAAGCTTGCTTCTCATATCTTGAAGCTCTTATAATAATGATGACTATTATACTGTTACGTATGTGCTCGTTTGTTAATTTCCGGTATAAATTCTTTCCGAGAAACCTCAGCGATACAAGTTTTTTCTTGATTAAAACTAGTTTATTCTTTCTCGATACAAACTTCGTAATACGCAGAATTTCCACACACTTTAAACTTAACAACCTTTTTAACACACGCTATAAATCATAGCGGTGCCTATTGTTCGTTTGACTCAATTATCTATATTTTTAATCCCGCTGACTTTTCTCGCCAGGCTTATATACTAAAAAAGAGGACGTCCTGAACAAACTCGGTCTTCTCCGATAATTTATGATCCTTCGAGAAACTCCAGCGCGCATGCTCCCAGCGTCGCGTGACTTCCGCTGTCGTAACAGTACTTTGAAGCTCTTATAATAATAATGACAATTATACCTTGAAGCTCTTATAATAATGATGACTATTATATACCTTGAAGCTCTTATAATAATGATGACTATTATACCTTGAAGCTCTTATAATAATGATGACTATTAACTATATGGAGCGCAACTTTCTTGCAAGTGAAATATTCAAAATTTCGATTATCTGACATCTAGTTATTTGAAAATATTGCCAAGAAACATTTTCGGGGGCTGTAACCAGGCAACAAACTAGATGACAACCATAATAGTATCAAAATTCATGCAACAATAAAACCAGAAGTTAAGAGAGTGAAACATTCTGAAATGCAAACAAAAAAATTGTATACCAAAAATACCAATGTATCGTCGCAATGATAAACCCCTGGTGGCCTAGTCTGGAGTTAATTTTCTCCAGTGCTTTCTTAAATAGAATTTCCTATTCTTTTTGCTAATCGCATGTTTTAATTAACTATTTAACTGTCCGTGTTTCTTCTTTAAATAAAGCTACGTTTTCATGAATGAATAAAGATGTTGGTTTAAAGGTGGTTGGTTTAAACTTTAACTGATTAAAAATAATAATAAATAGAAATAATAATTATATTTTTCACAACAGGTGGACACATAGGAGATGGCCGAATTTGTATATCATCAACATTCATGTGCGGATTTTGTGCTGTTCTTTCTATTCTGCACGAGGTCGTCACGTGACGCGTCGTATGTTTATGAACAACGGTATCTTGTGGAGATCTTTATGTTTTATGTTTGCAAAGAATAAAATAATTTCAAAGGAAACTTAACTAAATGGACGACTTCTGCTCAAAGTAAATCACAGTTAATGGACTAGCTATCCACTTTGTCATGATGGACACAAATGACATTTGGACTTGATTTAATAAAACAAAAATAATTAACTTACTTTGACAACTAGAATAAAATTTTCTTTCAAGAACATCGGTTTTATTCCAAAATTTTAGGTTTAAAAATTTTCATTTCCAATGGGGTCAAAGATTAATGATGTGCTCACTTCGGGAGTGGAAGATGCTAATTTGATTTCTTTATACACTTAATTGTGTACACATTAATATGCTCAAATTGATTAGAAATAGATAAACAAACAATAAAGTAGGTTAAAATCATATATTGTAGAATGTATCAGTAAATAACGAGCTTTCTATGTCAATCTCGTAGAAATATTTGTGCTTGTTTTATACACGTGATTTGAGTACATGTCTCTATTGAGCATCAGTGATTTGAAACAAACTGAAAGGAGTTTTGTTGAATAACAAACCATACTTATGTATTGTTGTAAAATATTGTCAGTAACATGGTTGTTATTTGATATTTGTTGTAAGTAACACCACAATTATGTATTGTTGTAAAATGTATTTCACCCATAAGTATCTCATTGTTCTGTTTTTAGTAAATCCACTCCTGTATAGACATAAAAATATAATTTCGAGACTACGATGTAATCCATAACGAGTCAAATAAAACCAATATTCAAAATATTTTCTTTCATTGCAGAAAAATGTATGACACTAAAAATATTATACCATCAGTGGCAAAAAAAAATACAAAATTAATTCACAGTCATTATTTATTTCAAATAGTTTTTTGAAATTCAAGATTCTTTGTATGGTACTTAGTTCTAACATAAAGTTCAAAAGATTAAACTGTGTATTACAAACGTTATAAATCGAGTAAACAAATACAAAAAATCTTCATATTACTGAAGGATTTTTGTATAATAATTTCATAAATTTGTATCTTTAATTTTTAACTCTAACAGTACCTGTGCCAGTAATTCCAATACTGGAAATCACAGACTAAAATTTCTCCGCGAGATGGCCTCAACACATGTGGAAACACTTTCTCAAAAACTACCCAGAAGCTGGAGAAATTAAGTTGTTTGCAGTTAAGCAAACAGCTACAAATGGGCTATCTGTTCTGTGCCCACCACGGATATAGAAACCCGATTTTTATTATCATAAGCCTCAATCTTACCGCTGTAACACTTGGGACAGTGGGGTGGGGGGTTTGAGAACGTAATATTTTCAGCTACAGTTTTATAGCAATAGATAAATAGATATGTTTATACAATGTCGTGGGTTATCTTTTAAACGAAATTACAATGAAACAAAGGTATCTCGGAATGCCTAATATATATAATATTTCTATTAGATTATCTCGTGGAGATCCTCAGCCACAGATGCTAAAGTTTTGAGTGGTCTCGGAGCTAAGAAGTTTGTAAATATCTGCCTTATGCAAGATGGCCTAAATGTAAGAAGTTTGTAAATATCTGCCTTATGCAACAGGGCCGAAATGTAAGAAGTTTGGAAATATCTGCCTTATGCAACATGGCCTAAATGTTAAAAGTTTGTAAATATCTGCCTTATGCAATATGGCCTAAATGTAAGAAGTTTGCAACTATCTGCCTTATGCAACATGGCTTAAATGGGCAAGTAATAGAACCCTAAGTTTCAGGGATGGTCATCTACGATTTAGAGCTTTGACCATAAGAAGGGAATACAGCCAATAGTGCTCGCTGCATATGAAGCTTCTCTTGACCGTTTAGTGAAATTTACTGTATCATTTATATGGCAGAAGTGTTGAGTGGTCAGCTCGAACCTTATATTTTGCTATTACCATTAGTTATGTAGTCTTTATAGTAAGAAAATTGAAATCTTGACTTGTTCGAAAAGTTTAATTACGCAGCGCTGCTAATCGGTGCAGACCAGATTAGCGCTGGCTTGTCAGTTGTTTTCACTTAAGTTAAGACAATAACTAATCACTCAAATCAGTTGACAGAAAACTGAGAATGCAAAACTAAATCCGACTGATTGCATTTTCGTGACAATGTCAAAGAAAGCGAGAAAAGAGAAACAAAATACAAAATTAAAGAAATAAAAAAAATAATAATTAAGATTCTATAGAAAAAACAGAAGGATATGAAAGAGTAATATTTATGTTTGTTTAAAATATGAAAGAGTTGAGCATGTCTGTTGCAATATGCATGGTTTCTATATAGAGCCTCCAGACGTGGAGACATGTACTGTAACGACGTGGTGAGGCTCAATAATCTGTTTAATATATCGTACTTAGACCTCTGTAGACCTACTTGACATTCACTTGTTCTACCCAAGAGAAGTTATCTATTAATGCTCGAATGAAGTCAGTTTTCTTGAATAGTTGAAAACACAATTATTTTTCCTTTGCAGTAATTTCAAATATTTCCATATAATTTCAGACTTTACTATCCTGAAGCTGCATTTGTTTACTTTTTTCATTGTAATGTGGTGCCGATTAATACAATTTCATTTTAAAGTTATCTTGAAAGCTTACATCTTATCTATAGGTTTTATACAGCATTTTAAATAGCATATCTTTATTCTTTAATGATTATTCGGCCTTTGAGTAATAGTAATAATACTAATGCTACAGTTGTCTACTAGAGTACACTAGGAGTACCATTCCAGATATTTTTGTATTGTAGTAATGAAGACAAAGACGTGTGCCGAAAGTTTCAGAATACATTTATGAAATTACGAGAGACTGCAAATAAAACATCAATATATATAAAATCGACATAAACATTAATGTATACACACTGGAAATATAACTCTAATATATGCAAACTAAAAGTAAAACACTAATATATACAGACTCGAAATTTAACACTAACACAAACACATTGGAAATAAAACACTAATATGTACAAACTGGAAATAAACAAAATATATATATAAACTTGAAATAAAACAATAATATATACAGACTGGAAATACTAATATATACAAACTGGAAGTAAAACAGTAATGTATACACACTGGAAATATAACACTAATGTATACAAACTAAAAGT